TTATCAATGAGAATTTTTTCACGACGAAGAACAATACAATTTTGATCGATTGATTTTGATGTTTGAAAACATTTTCTAATAGAACGATCTAATATTATATTAGCATTTATGATATCTGATGTTCGATCAATCCAAAAATATTTTGTCATATTAAATGCATTTGAAGTATAAGAAAATGGATATCCATTAAAATAATTTGTAGTTAATGTTAATTCGGGTATTATATCTTGAATTTCTAAAATATCATTTATTTTTGCAAGTACACCACCAATAGATTTACAATAAGATTGTGCAGTTGAAGAAGAATTTTTCTTTACTAAAAAATCCCTTTGTACACATCGTTGTTTATCATTACTAAGTTGAAAATCTCAAAAGAAAAAGTAAGAAAAATTTCTTTGTTTCTATTTAATTAACAAGTTTTTATGTTTTTTTTTCTCTTACTACTAGGACATTTTGGATTTTCGACATACATTGAATATAATGTTGAATTTCTCGTATTTCCACATGTATAAAAGTAATTACCTTGACATTCTTGAGTACAATTAAAATCTAGAAGTGAAAATCTATCACTCCGTTTTTTTCCCATTAAAATATTCGTACATAAACATTTATTTGAATTAAGAAGAGCATATTGTTGTCTATATTTTTTACATAATTCTAAACAATGACGTGGTTGAATATCATTTATATGATTTAAATTGAATTGATATATTTTTGATTGATTGACAAAATTTAAATGTATACAACCATCATAAACGAAATTAGGGTATGATTTAGTATATTCATAAAATTTGCTATAGCTCCATGAAGATAGACTTTCAGCAACATATAAGACAACGATTGTATCTGTATTACCACAGTGCTCATTTTGATTACCTAAAATTGTGAAAGAATTATATGAATAATGTATGTAGTCATTTACTCAATCACGTATAAATATAAATTTAAAAATCAAGTGGACAATTGATTTTTACAGTAAGAAAACTCATTAGCACAATTGTTTTCCATGACCCTTTGTTTTCTTGTTT